AAAAATTGAGCCCATTAACTCACGACCCTTGCCTAAAACGAGCTATTATGATGTTGGGGAGTTGAAATGCGTGCATCGAAATTTTGTTAGAACTTAGAAGCTCGATCGTTTAGGATAGATAGTGCTCGATTTTTTAGTGTTCTACTATTTTAGTACTGATTGTTGGGCTATTGGTTCTCTTTCTTTATTTCTTTCTCGAATCATTCGATCATGGTGAGTCGGTTAATATTCGACTTGCTTATTTAGTTAATTGCTTACTTAAATTTGTAAGAATTTTAACGGGTATATTCATAACTATCATACGAAATTGAATAAACCTAGGCATAGATCTTTTGCATTAAGTCCTTGTTCTTGTATGTCTGGCCGATCCTGGCTTCTGTTTCTTTCTCCCTCTCCTCTCGTCTATTCACAAAGTCTTTGTTGATAACTTTATTTCATATGAGATGGGAGATAGGGGCATGTAGTATATATAGAAAGAGGAGACTTACAATCCTAATTCCACTAACATTCTCCATGTTCTAACCTAACTTAGTGTCCAAGTCAAACATCACAAATTGGACTCTTTAATATTAGAACATTAAATAATCCATTAAATATATATTCACCATAATTAAGTTTGACTATTAATTTAATTAGGTCTAATTAATTTATATGATCCACAATAATAGAATAATATATAAAATATTATTACAACATTACCTTAATTAATTCAACTTAAAAACCAAACCATCCCTTACTATTGTGCATGCTTGTTTATAAATCTTTCTTGTTTTGATTGGTATTTTGGTTAACCATAGTTAGTTTTTAAAAAGTCGAATGAGTCAAATTTGAGAGTGATTTTGAGTTTGTATTAAAATAATATTTAAAATAAAATGATTAGCAGAATTGAGTTTATGTAAAAGTAGGAAAGATGTGATTGAAAGTGATAGATAGTTAAAATTATGTGAGTAGATGAATAGTGGATTAAAGTTGATGTGATGTGTATGGATGATTGATTTATATTAATAATATTGAGAGTAGTAAAGTTAAGTTAAATTTGAGTTAGATTTGAATTGAGATTGAATTTTTTTGAGAAAAACTTATAATTTAGTACTATTTATTTTTCTTTTTCTCTATTTTGCTACTTGTTATTGAGGTTTAGCTCCGAATAGCCATCTTTCGAGATATGACCCGGGGACGGGATTTTCTCGTACTCGGTTTCCTAAATTACTACAAACAAGATGCAAACGAGATGAATTGCTCGAGTTTGACTGAGCACGAGCCTAACTTATGCACCTCGAACTCTAACTTAAACTCGTATATTATAAGTTTGAGTGTAGGGTGTGCAAACTCAATCCCACATCGAAAAATTAAAGGTACCAAATCTAATATATAAGCTTGGTGGGCTACTCCTTCTATCGCCAATTGGTTTTAAAATAGAACTCCATTTGAGCTTGTATGTTGGGCTTGATGGATAATTGGGCTTGAGTTGTTGGTCCTACCAATTGGTATCAGAGTCACGGTTGGTAGCCAAGTTGGGATATGGATGACGTGGCGACGTGTTCAGGCATTTAGTAGCAGATTCCACCAACAAGGAGTCTGAAGCAGTCAAGTTGTGGCATATGCAGTTGGGACATGCATATGCAGTTGGGACATGCATGTTGGTGAAAAGACTTTTGTGAGTATTGTGTTCTGGGATAAGAGAGTAAAGTTTGGAACGACTATCCATAATACCAAATTTGGCATTTAGTAAATTTGGGTGGTCAGGCGACGTGTTCCGTGGGTGATAACGGCGATACAAAATGGTCAGATCGTATGGATTTCTTTCAAGGGGAGGCCCAAGTACGTGGTCTTGTGTTTGAGGAGAGGTTTGTAGGATGTACAAACTCAATCCCACATCGAAAAATTAAAAGGTTCTATTTGGACTTATATAATGGGCTTGATGAGGAATTGGGTTTAGAATGGAACTCTATTTGGACTTGTATATTGGGCTTGATGAGGAATTGGGTTTGAGTTG